CATTATTCCAGTCTAGCATGTTCATGGATGACTGACAGCATGAAGAATTTGCACTTGCCACGCACATAACTTTTCCAAATTCTCTCCCAATGTCAAAAATGGTAGCACCAATGAACAATCCCTCATATGCTAGTTTTACTTAATACTTTCCATTGGCAGATAAGCACCAATTGTGGGTAGGTAAATAGGTAGATAGATTGATTGACTACAACAAAAGGTATTTTGATTGGCGGATGTCTTAGATTAACAGATCGAGGCGGGTGGCCTATTTCCTCTACCAAATGTTGTTATTATGGGCCATTTATAGAGGCGATCAGCCAGGCTGCCCTTGTAAACTGATTATCACAGACCAACTGGGATGTGTAGTGAGCACAACATATCGGAGACGATATCGCCAACCTTGAACTTCTGATTTGCAGTCGACGCCATGTTGCTAGCACATGACAAGCCTTGGTACGGCTATATTTGGTGCACTAGTTCCATCTAGCCAAACTTGCGCAGTGTCTGCGACCTCAGCAGCTCAATTTTGATGTAGTAGTGATTGTACCATTCTAATAATTCTTTAACAATCAATCTTGATGAGTTCAACAAATAAAGGAGAAGATGCTAGGATAGTAAAGAGTGACAATTTTACTCCGCAATATATGGATAACTATTAAATTCATGCATATGGGTGTTGCTTTGATGCTTCAGTCAGGCAGCTATGCAGCCAAACTGTAATCTAGACCTAGGCTGACGAAATCGTGTGCTTGGTAGTGCTTGCATGTACCTGGCAGATTTCTAGCGTCCCAAGCAAACAAGCCCATAATGACTTGCCTACTGAGAATAAATATGCAACCACTGCTGGAAAGCTAAAATTCCCTGACGGTGCGATTACCGTCAGGAAAATTGAAAAAACCGTCAGAAAAATGTAAATCTAATTTCCCTAATGGTACACCGTCAGGGAATAACCACCAGGGCTAGCTCGACAGGGAAATTGGAAAATGTCTGACGGTTTACCGTCAGAGAAATTTGTTTTGATTTTCCTGTCGGTACAGAACCGTCAGGTTAATTTAAAACCGTCAAGGATATAACATTATTTCTGTCGGTTGAAACCGACAAAAAAAATCATACGTTACCGTCAGGGAATTAGGAATTATCCTGTCGGTTGTGTGCATTCACAGGTTAATTACGAATTTTCTTGACGGTTATCTAATTTCCCTATGTGTTTTCCAAAAACCGTCAAGGTAACTCAATTACCTTGACGGTTTATGCAATAACCGTAAAAAAATCAAAACCGTCAGGGAATTTCTGCTTTCCACTAGTGAACGGTTCTTTTAAAAAATAAAGGGAACAATATGTCATGATTCTTTTGAGGCCAATATATACCATGGCATCATTTCTACTGAGTGAATCACATTACCATGAGTGAATCCATTACCATGCCACTCATGGACAACTTTAGCTCTGTCCTGAGTATTATGTGGAATGGAAGAACGCAAGGAGCTGATAAGATGGAAATGAGAGGTATTGGGAAAAAAGATAGCACCAAATCTTTCATTGAAGCTTTGTCTAAAATGCCGTGTGCAAGAAGCACTAGAATGCTCGGAAGCTCAATCATAAAATAGCTACACAACCTATAGCTATATAAGTGAGTGTCACGTGCTATGAAGGGCCATGGACGGCTCCTCGTGGCAGCGCTTGTGGTGATCACAAAGGGACCCTCTCGTCCCTTTCTGGTCTGTATTGCAATGGGAGATGAATAACATCTTATTTGTGCCACTCATAGACGACAGCATTACACAGTGTTCGTTTAAAATTGTCGTCTGCACATGTGTAAATAAAAAACTACGGTTATACATATAGTTTATACAAAGCGGTGAATTAAACAAAAAACATTTAAACGGTAAAAAAAAGGTTAAACAGTGTGTTTAAGTCGTGATAAAGTGGAAACCACACGCTTGCCATGGGAGAGTGGTGAGGAGAAGCAGCGGAATGGGTGCGGTATCTTGCTTAACTCATAGAGGGCGTGGTCCTGTGCTTTAAATTATGTTTACTAAGCTAATAGGGACATGTGATAGAATTTTTCTCCCGTTGCAATACACATGGACATATTTTGTAACATGGACATATTTGCTAGTAAGTAATAATACAGGATAAGATGCCTTGATATATAGCAAAAGTCACAATCATATTCTGTATACCAAACTATTGAATGCATCCATATAATGCCTCGCCTACTTGCTTAGCTGGCATGCGGCGGGCACTAGGCATCCAAGCAAGTTTGTGGTTAGCCTAGAGCTATAGAGCATATGAAATCATACTCCGTGCCATATATACTTGGTTGCTCAATGCTTTAACTCGTTGAGCACGGGAGGCTTTGCAGATTTATCCAATAATTTTGCTATGTGTTCCAATTCATATTGAGATCGGACTCTGCACCCAAGACGTGATATGAGGATGAAGTCGGCGATGAGGCAGCGACCCACGACCTGGCAGGAGAGGGTGTCCAGCTCCAATAGAAAGGGATGGAGTAACTGTCTCTTTGATCAGAGGGGGCGTACATATTTGTGACAATGAGGGTGCTGGCGGGAAAAGATTGTTTAGAAGAAGGTCGTGGTCATGTTAAAGCATAGCTCACTGAAGGCAGTCTTTGAAGCATGGAGCTAGCCCAGTTCGTGGTGGGTGTCTAGGTGGAGGGAAGGAGGAGATGTCATTTCTGTCGAGGAATGCAAGGGAGTTTTGGTCTCTTGGAGGCAGTCACGTGAGGGTTAGCATGAGAGAGACGCGATACAAACAACATGATATAGTGTTTGCCTAAACTCGTTTAAATTGTCGTCTACATGTATATAAATGCTAAATTATGGCCTTATGGGTATAAATGTGGTTTATACCCTAAACGGTCAGAAAAATATTTAAATGGTGTGTTTAAACATAATTTAAACTTGTTTAAATACTAGTTTGGGTGTTTAAATGACAGCTTTGGCGATATAAAACCAACTTGTGGTAAAACTAGTATTTGTCGTGCTTGGCTCATAGAGGCCGTTGCTTATATCATCATGTTTGCTAAGCTAGGGGCATGGGATAAATTTCTTCTCCCGTTACAGGATATAACACAGGGACATGTTTGGTACGAAATAATAAAGAAGTGCCTTGATATAATAAAGAAGTGTCTTGATAGCAAGATTATTCACAATCATATCTGCATGCACAACTATGAATGCGTCCACATAATGCCTCGCCTACTTGAATATAAATACACAACAAATGTTTGCAAACAAAAGATGATAAATTTGAAGTTATTCTTTTCTCACCAATATATATATATATATATATATATATATAGAACTATTAGTCCATAGCTAGCTACGGAATAAGCTATATTGTAGCCAGACCCAACATGAACGTCGCGACCTGACCGGGGGCACCAGATCCACCCGACACATGCAGCTCCCGTATTTACAGCACCGTATTTATAGCCGAAGTCAATTGATAGACTCGACCGAGCAAACATCGCACTACCATTCGAAATCTTCAATTACTTCCTTTTTTTCGTGCAGAAGAAACATCGCAACCGGACCCGGCCTCCTGATTCTGCCGCCGGGCATGCCTCGAGCGATGCTGCGTAGCCGGCTACCCAGCACGTTCATAGCGACTCATGAGTTTCAACCGTGCACACACATGGTTGATTGGAGCTGACTTCAAAAACCTCATACAAAACTTTTCGCTCGCTCCTCGCAAAAACAAAAACAAAAAAACAGAACTTTTAGCTCTGCCCTGAGTATCATGTGCGTGGAATCACAATTAGTGCGTCCAGGGCAGAACGGCTTCCGAAAATCACAATTAGTTCGTCCGGACTTCAAACAGAACGAACGGTATATGTTTTTCGAGCAGCTCGATAAGAGAAACGCAATGGTCCAGTCCAATCTTGCATTTGAAGAACTTGCCCAAACCGGCCTGTTTGGAAACCGACCAGGCCGGTTTCGGCTAGGCCAGCACCCCCGAATCGTTGTTTTTCTTCGTCCGGGCTCTAAATGAGATGATCCAAATATGTTTTCTGACCATCTTGACAATAAAAACATGGAGTCCATTATAAACTTTGACCACTTTTGGTTGTCAACAAATGCTTTTTTTTATTGTATTATTGTATTTGTAGAATTGTAAACTCTCCTACAAGAGCAACAAGAACTTTCTAGCTCCTTGTGAGCTAGAGTACTGGTAGAAAACGGAGGGTTAACAATTTTTAATGCCAACACATATGGAGTAGTTAAATCAGTTACATGGATGGATTCGATGAAAAAATACATTGGCATAGATAGATATCATAAGCATGCTGGAGAGATTATAAGCAGCTACATCTTGCCCGAGGGAACAGTTTCATGGGTCCCTATGCATGTGAAAAAAAAAACATTATCAAATCCAAAGAAGATTAACTTAGCAATAATTAAGGTTAATAGAACTGTAAGAAAGGTACTGGTAAAATATATCCTAGTAAGTTGCAGCAAAAAGGAAAAACGTCGACAGCAGGATTCGAACCTGCGCAGGCAAAGCCCAACAGATTTCGAGTCTGTCTCCTTAACCACTCGGACATATCGACAACTTGTTGTAGTTTAGCATTTCATATCTCTTATAACAATGTATTATTCCGTTGTACCCTAACATCCAAGGTAATCGCACGTCTCCCATTCGTCTTATGCCAATCGTACATCTCTTCCAAAGCGAACGTCGGAACAAATAGTACTGTAACAATAACTAACCCCCAAGGGCAACAAAATCATGCCAACCATCTCGTAAATTAAAATAACAGAATTTGTTCTTTATTATTGAACTTCCTCAAGATAGTCACGTTTAAACAAAACCTGCCCAGCTTGGCTGCCTTCGAGCACATACTCGCGTGTTCAACATCAGATAGGACTGGCAAAACTACATCCAAAACCGAGCGTTCCTCACAATGTCTGGTACAAAGGCATCCACTACTGACTAATAACTCAGAAGAAACGGGGGCATAAAATGTGACATCATCATTTCTTCTGCTTGCTCGATACATTCAGCTGCTGGAGGTTGAGCAGCAGGTCGTTGGAGTCCAGGAACACCTTGTTGGCCGAGGCCGAGATCGTGTGGGAGATCTCCCTTGCAGCTTCAATCTGCCTCAGGGCAAGGAAGGCAGGGTTGTTCGCGATGGCTTGACCAATCAGCTCCGCACTCTTAGCCTCTCCCTGTACACAACAGCGACCCAGAAGCAAATAGTGTTTCAGAGCAAGGTTCAGCTCAACACAATAACATCAACAAGGATACTAGTACAATATAGGAATAAAATCTGTTTTGTGCTTTTTACTGCCAGCTCAGCAGCTTGACAAGACAAATTGAAAATAGCATGAGGACAATAGATCTTATGATGCAACCAAAATCATTACAATAACTGCATATAGTACTCTCATTTTGCTTCATAATTGGTTTCTTACCTGAGCCCTGATAATTGCACTTCTCTTATCTTGCTCAGCTTTCTCGACAATGAACTTTGCACGCTCAGCTTCCTGTGCAGCAACCTGCTTGGCTTCAATGGCATGAGTGAACTCCTTCCCAAAGCTCAGGCTTGTGATGGAGACATCATCGAGAGCAATGTTGAATAATCTAGCCCTCTCAGTCAGTATCTTCCTAATCTCCCTACTCACAGTCTGAAATTGGTGGCAGAAAAGAATAAACAGAAGCGCTCTTAAGTATTTACTAGTAACTTCTTTTTCGAAATAAAATATAGGTAATATACAAAAGATATGTTCAATCATACCTCTCTTTGTGTGATCAGCTGACTAGCATTGTATTGAGCAACAACAGCTTTCAGTGTTTCGTGGATGATTGAAGGCAAAACTCTCTCATTGAAGTTCTCCCCCAGAGTTCTGTAGATATGTGGTAGCCTCTCTGGCATAGGCCTTGTGAGGACACGGATACCAATTTTCACCTGCCAAGATAAAGAACAGGAGAGATAAGTATCTCAAAATATTAAATGAATCCCTGTGATCCAAATCATCATAAAAAAATCCACACAGCACCACATGGTACGAAATGAATTGCCTGATTAATGATAGCTCCTATTTCCGAATAAACGTATACTATTTCATTAACCAGGGTGATAGAAACTAGTAAAATCAAAGGTGCCACATCTTAAATTACATATAAGAACCAAATTCTAGCATTCTACAGAGTATGATAAACATACTGTACAGCAATTCATCATCATACAGAAAGGAGGATTGGAATACCAATAATAATACTCCAGGCGAAAAGGTAACTAAAATAAATGCAGGTAAATGAGCATGCAAAATATATATATGGCCAAAACGGCAATATATGGCAATGATCAATATTTGTCAAAACCGCAAGGTGTTCTGAATTTATCAGGTTCATTGGTCACAACTTTTGCATGAAAATATTTCAATGAAAATTGCAGAAACTACTGTTGCTGAAATAATCATAACAGCCAGTAGCAGCTATTAGGGGATCAAATGAACAATAAATCAAGGAAGAAACAGGTTTGTTGGTCCAAATTTCAGCTGAACAATCAGCAGACAGCAACGTTTACACTGGAACTAAAGACAGGGTCCAAATCATGAAGAATGGTAGGCTGGAAGAATTGAACTGGAAGTGATGTGCATATTTAACAACTAAACACAGGCCCCAAATCATGAAGAATGGTAAGCTGGCGGAATCGAACAAAAGTGATGTGTATACTTACCATCTGAAGATCCCGGCTCCCAGACGTACTCTCAACAAGATTCGGTCGAGCACGGACATCATAAATGATTGGCCGTTCAAACCATGGAATCATAAAGTGAGTCCCTTCAGGGTATACCTGCATATAGAAATTGTTTGGTGTAAATTGAACTGGTTCATTGTCTAGGGGGAATGCAAACTTAAGGATAAATATTAAATAGTAACCCCAATCAACAAATGCCCTAAAAAGTCAAATTGTACAATAAGAGTTTTTCACTAATTCAAACAATCGTATAAGTACATCAACAAGTTTTGATGCACCAAAATATATCAAAATTGACAAAGGACTACAAATAAAGGTGCACAAAAAAGATCAACACTCACAACCTACTTGGACAGGTAAATGTTCTGGTTCAGTTTTGAGATTTAAAGTGATTAATCAATATAAAAAAGCTGAGCATGTCTCAGATAGGCATGCTTCTATATCAAAACAAGATATTGCAAGCTGAATGTCATGCTTTATGCATCCAAACTTTCATATTATACCTATACAATTATATGCCCATTCAAGCAATCACATCAAAATATACTAATATAGCTAAAACTTTACCCTAATTACATAGGCCTGAAATACACCTTCTGGTGTATGACACCAAGGCACACTGTTAATAAATCAAGTTATTTGTGATTACACACGAGTCAAATGGAAAAACATGATTTGTTAGCTTAGCTCTTCATTCGAGCTAACAATGAATAAGCATGCACACATAAAAAAATTTGCAATAAGACAGAGAGAACAATAGCAAAATTTTATTGTGCCAAATTGTGGCAAAAAATACATGTAGAATTTATAAAGTTTGCATCAGTTCTCAAAACATAAAACTCACTAGCAAGTTGATTGTGCACGGACAATAATCAGTGAAAAATAATTATACATAAACCTCCATTCATTTCTCCCCTTGAAACAAGACTAGCACCAAAACAAAACCTAATGTGTTTCATGGCATTATGATGGGGTAAATTCAAACTATCACATCAAATATGTTGTAAATACTTGCCAGTATTTCACAAGAAAGTGAAGTGACAGAGTGTTCAGGGATAAAAAAACTGCATATATCAAGAATCAGCAAAATAACACATATGTCCTTCCCCTCAAAGGATATCTAAGGCCAAGATACTACAATTTTTTGTCAAAGAATTAATGTTTAGTCATTCAGTACGCACCAATAACACCTCTTGCATTTTCAAATTACAAAACCTAATCGGATGCATCCAGAAATGTTGCAGGTAAATAGCATCGCCACAAAACAACCTTTCATATGCAAACCATGATCTAGAAATTTATCTGGAATAAAGCATTTCAATGAACTTTGACATTTGAATCATATATATAGGTAATATAAATATAAATACAAATCTAGTAGATTCTCATCTAATCAAGTGAATATTTTTTTTGAAAGATAAAGAGCATCAAAGAACATTGTCATAGGTCCAAACAGGCCCAGCAGCGGTGGGTCCAGAGAGGGGCCAGGGCCAGCCTATCCCTGGCTGACCGCATGAGGGAGGCTAGAGTTAAGTTTGCTTACAAACAAGTCATAGGGAGTATAATAAATACAGGGGACATGTACACATATCAATCAAGAAAGACATAGAGGATTATTCCTTAGACTCTCCTGCTCCCTAGCCCCCTTGCACCGACCCTCTTCCAGCGCTGCTGCCGGCCTCCCCTTGCAAGTGGCCTGTGGCCTGTGGGAAACCACGGGCCGGTGTCGCCTCCCAATTCCCCCTCTTCCTACCGCCTACAAGCTTAGCAGTCCACCTCCCACCAACATCAACCCATTACAAGCATACAACAGTTAAACTAACATATCACAGAAATTAAAAATAGAAATATTTCTGTATTCATCATGGTTAAGGAAATCACATGAAAACCTAGGGTTCAATTACAACACAGAAGGCACAAATGCATAGAACCATAGACACACATTGATATGGATTGACGGGAGTAGCAGGAAGAACCCTTTCGTCCGTAGACTACTTCTTAGGTTCTCCTTGCTTGATTACAATCAATACCGGGTTCTCTCTTTTATAGAGATGACTGACTTGACTCCTAAGGAAATATCCTAACCGAATCAATCTAACTTATCCCTTTCCTAACAAACCAAATCAATCTAATCTAATGTGCTGGGTACTTGCCATAACACACATCCACATTGATACCTTCGATATGTGATTGCACTTGCCCATGACAAAGTTTCTATTTTAAGAGATGTAAAGAATGGTGAAGCAAACCATGGACCTTTCTTGTAGTACATCCACAACAACTAAGCTCATAACACAATACAGCAGCTAGTTCCAATTTCTAATCAATTTTTAGGTAATTCAACACAGCAAATTTTAGAGCCGCCCACCTACCATAACTGTCCAAGTGGGATAGCATACACATTGTTATATTGCATTCAACAATAAAGATAGCAAGCATTTCAGAGAGTAGATGTCAAAACAGGAACAAGAATGACGAAATCACTACTGGTGTAGTACAATTTGGAAGCACCCTTGTCGATCTAACAAGCACACGCACCTCATGTTTTGTTTTGCCAATTGTTGTACACGATTTGTATCTAATTTAAGGGGTATGTGCCCAAAAATCTCAATAACATCCTGGACTGCAATTCACGGAAGCACAACATATCCACATTTCACCGACAACAAAAAGATGCCAGTACTGCTGACAATTTGGCCGCGCATGCTATGTGCTCCAGACTCCCAGAATTTTTTTTATACAAAAGTAACAAGCATGGTTATCTCAGATTTACTGGGATGCGCGTAGAAATCCAAAGAAATCTTCTAAGGGAGACGAAGCTAGGATAAAGTTCATCGCAGCACAGCGTCCACAGCCACATTCCTCTCCCAATCGCACCCGCAAGACTACCCAACCAAACCGCTTCCCCCGGAAACAACCAACCACCGCACACCATCAAAACAGATAGAAAATGGGGGGTGGGCAGGGAGAACGGGATGCGCGCCCGCGGAGCCCAGACCTTGTCCTTGATGCCCTGGATGCGGTTGAAGACGATGGCGCGGTGTCCACCCTCGACGTTGTAGAGGCTGCTCATGGCGGCGTACACGGCGCCGCCGCCGAGCACGGCCACCTTGACCAGCGCGCTGGCCCCCGGCGGGGGCACCGGAATCCGGCCGCCGCCCTTCACGTTCATCCTCGCCGCGCCTGTGGGGGCCGCCGGAGACGGAGGAGCTGCTGTGGTGGGGAGGGAGGAGCACTGGGGGGCGGCTAGGGTTTTTGTGGGTTGACTAGAGAGGAATGGGGAGGGTGCGCGCTTGTGATGAAGGGCAGCGGGTGATCGGGGCCTTTGGATTTTAAGCGGACGGTGTGGCGGAGCAACGGGGAGTGAGTGGTTTCTTTCCTGCACGGCAAGAAAAAGGAAGGACCTGGTGGTGTCCTTCGGTCACTGCCGTGTCGGTCCACGCCGCGGCGCTTCGAGATGGGTTTCTGTCTGTCTTTCTGAGCCTGAGCGGCCTCCACGACACGATCCGACGCGGGCTCCTCCAACGATGCCATGCGTAAAACACAGTCAAAATATATATTATTACTACAAACGTTATTTCTTTCCGAAAGAGTATATATATACCAAATATCTATAGTTTATATATAGTTTGAAAACCAAATACCTGCCAAAATATTTTTATTTTTATAAATCGATTGAATTTGTAATATTAATCCTTCATATCAAGAAGTCATAGAAAGCCACGAGATAATGCAAAAGGGAAATAATAGATGTGTCAACGTAGCTATGTCAATTGTTGAAGAGCATAGCGTTGTTCGGTGTCCACACAATAGTAAAGGCAAATAGTTCAAGATGTACGATCTAGCTCTGAGGCTATAAAAGGATAAGCCAGGCGCATGCATCCGACACAAGATAGTACGAACATAGCCACCAACACAAACATAAAGACACCTCTACCACCACTCCACTATCCACCTATAGTCTAGTACACCATTTGTAATATATACTCCAAAATAAAGGAGGTGTCTATGATCACCCTTTACCCCTCCAGGTTTGTGCTAAGGTGGCATTTGGATACGATTTTGGAATGGGATAGGGGAATGGATGGGTTATGATACACTGGGTTATGGCCTGGCTATGGGATCCCTATCATATTCCCTTGTTTGGAAATTGGTCTGGGATAAAATCTATTTTGTGGGGCCCACTAATTTTGCCATAATAAAAAATCCTTCATCTTCTCCATTCGATGGTTCTCGGTGCCGTTCGTTGAACTCAAGCCACGCATTAGTGCCGCCGCCCGGCTTGCTGCTGCTCGACTGCTTTCGGCGTTGCCACCTGCTCCGCGTCTGAGTGTTGAGCAAGGCTCCAGCGGCGGATTCATTATAACACCCTCGGTTACGCCCTAAACAAACTACTAAATCATGCCATGAGCATCGTGTTTATGTAATAATGCATATGATAGAAAGTGTTGATAAATTTCTTATACTCTAAAATAACCAATAAAAATGTTAAATGAATGTTGATTCAATAGCTTATGTATATTAAGTAGGGTTGAAAATCAATTTTTATTAAGCAAAAATACTATAGAACATATGTGTGATACTTAAATAAAGTTTGAAGTACAAATTTTGTAGATGACAATGCAACTCTTGCTGTAGAAAAATAATATGACTAGCTAGTATTTCAATGGCTTGAAAATAGAACTTGAATTCAAATCCAGCTCAAGACTTGGAAGAAATTTTAAGTTTGAAAACAGTGTGACAATGTCATGTTGGTGAATTAATTCTGAAAAATCTAGCTAAAGGTCAATACTGTGTTTTTGCTCCTTATGATAGACTGATGTACCATCGTTAACATGGTTGAGGTAGTTTAGCTTCAACTGTGTTAGGTTAGTTTTTAGACGTGCTTTAAAATTCGTGCACGTCATGTGCCTGGAGTGTGCACGGTCACCTCGCGCGGCCGCTCGGCGTCGCGCGGCTGGCCGCGTTCTGCACGCCACGATGTCGATGCCCTGCCGGCCTGTATGGTCGTGGGTTGGCCGTGGCCAGGCCAGCGGGCCGCTGTCGTCGCCCTACAGCTGCTGGGCGTCGCGCTACTACTCCACCTCGTTGCCGCGTTGCTGCGCGCACCGCTGCGCCGTGCCAAAGGGCTACCACTGCGCTACACCGGTGTAGCCGCTGCACGATCGCGTGGCAAGGCGTCGTCGCGATGCTGTTGTTGGGTGCCCCGCTGTCGCCGCATGCGCGCGCCATTTTGACCGCTAATCCGCGTGCGGGGTCGGGCCGTGGCCGGGGCCGTTGTTGCCATGGCTACGTGGCAGTCGCCCTGCCCTACAATTCACCTACCGCGAGTCCGTGTCGCCGCTCGCCGCGTCTAGGTCAGCCGACCCTAGCTTCAGGGTGACGGTGACGTCTCCCTGCTTTGCCCTGTCCCGCTTGCCAACGCCGGTGAGCCGCTCAGGCCCGGCTACCGCATTCTAGTGCTTCGCGCGCTGGCACACCTCTTGGCTCCGCCTAGCACTACCCGATGCACCTCCTGCCCTCGCTCGTGCGGCCATGTCCTCACATTGTCATACCCTGTCGGGTCATGGCCGGGTCACCTCTGATGGAGCCATGTCGCGTGATGTAGCAGGGGCGATGCGCCGCCCTCTTCCCATCATAATCACCAACTCAAAGCTTCCTAGTCCAATTCCTCGCGTCTGCGAGTAGCAGAGGAAGTTAGCTAGACGCCCTACTCCTGTCGGGTCCAGCGGTGGTCTGGTCGTGGCCAATTTCAGATTTTGCTCGTCGTCGGTCATGTGCGTCGTCGAGCCGGTAGGTTTGGGGGTAAAGCTCGTCGAGTTAATAGTAGTTCAATTGTTCGTAACACCGAACTCGCCTTGACTCCCTCTATCTGGTGCTCACACTATCTTGGCTAGGGAACTCGTTGGTGACGCATGGGCGTCCATCCCGGAGCACCGTCGCCCCAGCGGCTCGCATGTGGTCAGATCATCGCAGCGCTCCCCTGCTTCAGCCATCAGTAGGGCGTACACCACGGTGAGCTACTGATACTTCTCCTCCATCTCTACCTTTCTGTGAGGGTGTAGGCTCGTCAGAACAGTCGCGTCACCGTCTCGGATAGCCGCTCGCCGCTGCAGCCCGCGACACTGTGCCTCCGAGTCCCTAACCACCACCCATCCTTGCACGTTTAGCTGTAGATGGTGGTCGGCCCTTTAATTCCGTCGTAGCGAGCCTAGTTGGCCTGACGTAACCGCCTTATGCCGTCGGCTGCTGCGCCAGCGCGTGCAGGGGTTTCCAGGGACCTGCCCGTGGTGAGGACGAAAACAACCGAGGGCTTGGTCGCAAAGCCACTGCTGATAGGAACAGTACACATGGAAGTCGTACTATTACCTCGAAGCTCAGGGGCTTTTCTACAAAGCCCCTTTTCTTTTTCTAAAGCATTTTCTAATTTAGTTTTTAAGGTAAACTTATAAATTCAATATAAATTTGTGTAGTTGGCCAAAGATTGTGAAACTAATTTTGTTAGGTTCCTCAAATCATAATCTATCTGCTAGTATATTTTGTTCACATAATTTTATAATATTTTCAGGAGTTATCTAATTAATTTAAGATGCTTAATATTGTAAGATATAAACTTGTAGGAATTGTTGTGATAAATTGGTGATAGTGTTGGCTCTGAAACTTTCACAGTAAATTCCTAACATTATTAGGTGCTCACTGTAATTTTTGTAGCTCCATAATAATTAGTTTACTAGGGTAACTAAATGAGCCCTAGTTCAAAAATATATGTTTAATCAATAAAATGCCGAAACACCTTGGGATTTTAGGACTAAAATATTTTTCCGAAGGCGAAGCCTTACTTGACGATGTGAATACGTAGACCAGCACGTTAGTCATTAAAACTAGCTCGTTAGCTTGTGGAGCGTAATCGTTTATTTAAAAAGTTACGATTACCGTTGATTAATTGCGTCTCTGCGTTGCATCCACGTATACCATAATAGGAACAACGATGAATCATGGAGTCGACCGAAGTAGCAGAAAGGATGGTGCCTTGATGATCGGGTCACTGTGATGGAATGCTAACTTTTGGTTATATCTTATCCAGGCAAGCCCCGGTGCATAACCTCTATTGTCAGGTTCATAAACTCGGGGTCCCTCGCGGGCCGGTTTTCCAATAAAGGCTTGTCCCAAGCAGACAGCGCGTGACTCATGGGCCGGCCCAAGTATCTGAATGACAGTCCAGAGGGGCGGTCTAGTCACCGACCGGAAGGTCTGGCCGAGGAGGAGCGGCATCCGTTTTTTCGACTCTGGCCCACCTCTCCGACCGGAGCGCTCGCTCCGACTCCAGCCCCCTCCAGACGGTCTCTCCAATCGGGAGGCCTGGTGTTTACACCAAAATTTGGGAGAAGAGCACGGAAACTCGTAGGCTTCCAAGATTGTGCCAATCAATGAGTCGATTGAGTAAAAATTGATATCTACCGGGTCGAATGTGACACTGGGATCGGTTCTCTCCGAATGACGTCAGCGGATAATGATGGCGAGATATGATTGGCATCGAGAAGATATATATCAGACTCTACAAAAGGAGAAAGATTAGAGTCCAAGTTATCTTAAAATAAGAATGTTTTCTTCTTACCAAAGATTGTACTGAGTCGTACTCGAGTATGATTCGTTTTTAGGTCCCGGGTATAAATATCAAAGCCCGGCTATTGTAAAAGACACAATCAATCAAATACAAGTTACTTACTTTTTCGGCTCCGACCACCCCTTAGGAGTAGGAGTAGACTAGCTCTCGGCGAGTTCTTCAGCAAGTACGGCTGCATCGATTCGGTCGACCTCCACTGCTTGTCTGTAAGTACCGTCATGGCTTATACCTCTATTCGTACGGCTGCATCGATCTGGTCGACCTCCACTGCAACTCTGGTACAAGTTAGTTATCGACTCTTGTCTAGTTCAAGTACGGCTGCATCGATCCGGTCGACCTCCACTGCTCGAACTAGATTAAGGTCAAGTTATCGGCTCTATCTAAGGGTGACGTTCCTTCGGATAGATTCATTGAGTTACCGATATTACTTATTGCTTCCATTATTTATTTAATTACAGCAATATCACTTCGCCCAATTGGGATTGATCTAGATCAGTCTTATATCTTGTTTAACCCATCGTTTTTAATCTAAATTTGATCTAATCTAT